ACAATTTTTATTGAAAAGGGGAGCGTGGCTTCCAAGAAAAATTTATGAACAGAAACGAGGGATCTATGTAGACTTTACGCTGTCTATACATTTGCGGATATTTTTACTACCGTTTACTATAAAAATTCCAAACGTCACGATTTGTCAAGAATGAATAGTCTACCGCGAACAACGTCTCTTTTCAAAGTAACTTTTCTCTGTTAGAAATTAATAAAAACATTCTAACACCTTATAGTGATTATTAACGCTACAGGCTGAGCATATTTTTCTGGGAACAAATGAGTTAATGGATCATTCAGATTACCGCTAAATCCAGATTTTCGAGTGAAGGTTCATCGAAGTTTGCATAACGTCGCCTCTGTTCTCAGCAGATCCTGTTTAGTACTGATGATCAGATAAATGCACAACTTTGAGATGTTTTCATTTAGTTTGTTGAAAGAAATTTAGCGCCGAAGCAAAGACGATTGACCGCGATTAATTGGAGATCATACAAAAAGCTGGAATTCATCACATAACAATGTGGTACTGCACAATATCATTATAGCATTAGGTTAGGAGAAACTGTAATTGGGGGGGGGGGGGCTAATGACTCGATGCCACAAGTAAAATTATGTAAAAGTTAGCAAGAGCGATTTTACACTGCTTGCATTTTGTGGGTTGTCACCTTCCGCGCGCCCCTCCCCCCCTCCTAGAAATCGGAACCAGATCTAGGCTTCACAATACGAAGCTTTGTTTAAAGCTGCTAAGCTGCGCTACGCATGCGCCCAAGACTACGAGACGCAAAAGCTCTTTCCCGCTTGTAGATAACAGCTCAACTTCTGCTATATTTTTTTTTCAAATGAACTATCACTTGAAATTACAGAATTAACAGGCCTGAGCTGGTAAGACATCTGTACATTTTCTAAACCACAAGTTTCACAATGGATGGTATACAAAAACGAGAGTGAGAAAAAGTTTTGATATGCTTTTTAGAGAAAGCGTTGGTTTGATGTAGCAGTGGTCACTTCCGCTCATGTACTCATTTACGTTCGTTCTGCTATCGAACAAATACTTCAAACAACCGACTGCCACTGAATCGAACTTACATGATATTTGACGTAGCCATAACGTAGTGTGCAAGCATATGCAGTACATCCCCTGCTGATATCAGAGCGATAAATATGTTACATGTACTGCGCAAATGTCTGAATCGGCAAACAAACTTGAAACCATGAAAGTTTATCTTGATAATATCCTTAGTCTGCACTTACTTTGATTTTTTGGTCACATAGATTATGAATAAGTTCCCAATCACACTTATGGTTGGGATAAGATAATAAAACACTATATACGGCGTAGGAATAATCATACCGGCGTTTCTGAAAACTTGATATGTCAAAAAAAACACTATTATTCCCTTTGATTGTCCATGAATTAGGTTTGGGAAATCAAATTTAATCGTGTCTTCTGTAGATGAATAACGCCAACAGCGAAGAGAAGGTCATGGGAGCGTCTTGTTCTCTCCTTTCAAAAAATATTTACTTTATGTAGATACGGTTGTTCAGAATACTTGGTGGAAGAAAGTTTCTACAACTCCCACAGTTTTCGATTTTTCCGTCATACGGACCCAACTTTCAAAGAAAATCTCGTGAAATAAGTTTTCAGCCCGTAAATTTTCCAGTAGAAGAAAAAAATTAGCAGGTTTGATTCTGTTCGACGTGTTTTTTCCTCATTCACGATGATGTACGAGAGCATTCGTAAAGATTCAGAAGCTGTTTACTGTTTTTTGTTAGAGCATGCCATGATTTATCAGATGTTTGGAGTACCTACTGCTGCGTATTTCGCGGCTTAGATGGACACTTTGTGCACTTTTGAAAGATGGGTCGGGATGACGGAAAAGTACCCAATTTTCTAAGGTTCGGAAATTAGGATAATAGGAAAATTCCAAGTTTGAATTTATCAGCGTAATTTGTGGTCACATGGTACTAATTTCAGGACGTGTGCCAGCAGAGAAAGATTGAAGTTTCTGTGTGTGTACTGTTCCATTTCACGAAGCACCATCAAAAACTCCATGTTGGCACATGCTGAATCCTTGTCACAATCACAAGATAATTCCTGGTTTTTGTTGTACTTCTATTTATCAGAATGTTTTCAATTCTATTTATCAAAATGACTCCAATTTCAGCATTTGTGTTTTGAAGCTGGTTAGGGTATGTATTGCAAGAAAATTGAGTTTCCTTCAGATGAGATTCCGGCACACCTTCATGGGGGGGGGGTATCAATGTGCGTATTTCGAAGGGCGCTGTATTGTTACAAGCGAGCGTTCATTCGTCTATAAAGGGGAACAGCGCTTGATCAGAGATCGGAAAATTGGTAATCTCCAACCTTCTCCAGAACTCCTAAAGAACTAGACTCTGGCTGAAAGAATGAAGTTTCAAGATTGGCTGCACATACGCGTCTGATTGCTTGGTATACCGGAAAGGAATAGGAATTGTTATTGATGACACAAATCGTTGTTTAGAATCAAAGTTTACTCCTTTGTCAACTCACTATCATTATCAGTCACAACTGAGAAGAACGATATGCACATTCTGTGTCTGATACTGCATTAGAATGAACCGTAATTTCCTGTCTCATTCTCAGCAGGACGGTCACAACTTAAGCTAGCCATTCCGAGCAAGTTATATATCTTCAAATTCGCCTTGAAACGCTGGTTTCAAATATATGTTTGTTATCTGCCGAATCTGGAAAGATACGAGCGTCAGGATGCGCGTTTCGCCGGGTATTCTGTGGCGCACGCTTTGCAACGTCTTAGAAACACTTATTTAGGTTTTTGGCAAGTGTGCTTCTTCCTTGTGAAAAAGATACTCATAATCACTGTGATTACGCTGATTTACGCTACGCCTTCAGGCTGCTTTGCAACTAACTTTATCCGTTGAGACTTGGATAATTTTACATATTCAAGCACTCAAAAGTCCTTCCAGATAGTCGCTCGGCATACAACAAACATATACTCGAAACCAGGGTTTCAAGGCGAGTCCGAGGATGACTTGTTTGAGATTGCTAGGTTAAGTTTAGGCTATTCTTTCGTTAGAAAGAAGATTTGAAATAAGTTGGTCAATGCTATCAGGGTAACTGCTAAGGGAATAACGATTCATGCGCATCACAGACAAAATTTGACATTAGATGCCTTTAGAATCCTTTTTACATTAGGAAGCATTCGAATGCTTCAAATGGATTTTCTCATAAGCGCGAAGACGTCCCAGCGCGCATCGTCAAAGTAGTAATAATCGCTATAATTCTTTCATGTATAAAGCGCGGAGATGTTTCAAAGCTGCAACACAAGGCGATAATCCTTCATGAAAGCATAACAGAACGTGAAAATTTTGAAGAACAGCTTTAACCAAATAGGTTTTTGTCTGTGAAAAAAAAATGAGGCGAGCTCAACAGAATAATTACAAATACAAAGACGTTTGCTCCACAATCGAGAAATTAAAATGCACTTGATTTTGCGGCTATATAGTTTGCTTAGTCTAGGACTTGACACTTACAGGCATGGGAAGTGTTCACAAAATATGATCTAACAAATTCTTACGTTATAAGCAATATCGTTTATCTCTAACAATAAGGGGAGATGAATTATGGGCACAGACGGCAGGTGTAAGTGCATGAGGTTTCTAGAATCAAAGTTTCTTTTTTCAAACTATACGTCGACATTACTTGATTGACATTACTTTTTTTTTACTCTCCTTTGACATAATCGAATCTCAAAAAATTTATTTCGAACAATCGTATAATGCCTGGCACACACATAGGAAATAGACACTACAGATTTGTTTACAATGTAAGATGGACTAATTTCAATCATAACTGTTCATTGCCACTGATAATGGTTCAGAGATGAATTATTCATCAACGATGAACTTGTCTGTCAGTCATCAAAGGTAACTTCGCAATATTGTAAATGTCGATTTTCATTAGTTTGCGCAACGCAAAAAACGAAGAAGAACATTTGAAACGGGGTTTATTATGCTATATTGCCGTTACCCTTATATGGTTTAGAATATCATCCATTTGAACGCAAATTTGGCTCTGACCTTCGCTCTGGCACAGGTCCTTGCTAGACCAAGTTGTTTTATTATCGTGTAATTGTTGAGTTTGATAGTTCGAATACACATCAGTTGGATCAATCTCACAAACAAGAGAGCAATGAAGAGCGATAAAAATTTTTATCGAGCAAGTACAGCTAATAATTGTTTGTGTGCTTTAGCAGGTGAAAAATATCAGAAAATTTCCAGTTGCTTTAAGAGAAAGTTTAAGTTTACAATTTTTTGTTGCATAAATACAAAACAGAAGCCTATCTATTGCTTTCTTCAAAAACACTGAAAATAGCATGTTCTCTTTTTCATTCAAACACAAGTGTTCAATACCATTCTTCAGTTATCGCTACTAGTCGGTCGGTGGTCGAATTTGAATTCGAACTGGAGCAGGCCGGCCGCGGCAGAGCGCGGCAGACCGCCCCTCAGCCAACCACTTGCACATGAGCTTTCCTCTTATTTTCTTCGATTTCGTACCGTTAGCTGTTGTTCTGTGCAGTTGTGCCCGTTTGTTTTACATTTTTTCCGAGTAAGCCAAGAAGAAGGAAGTGATTGGAGATTTTTGGATGAGAAATCTTTTCTCCGGTAAGTGACATATACAAAAATGTGATCTGATGAACTGTGTGAAGTTTTTCGTTAGAACGTGTACTCTAAACTATTTTTTTTGCGATAGGGCTGAAATTCTCTCAAAAAGTGTTTGTTTCAAAAGAGTAGCGGAGGAGATTTGAAATTCTGGTTAAGAACATTGCCGCAAAATGAGAGATAGCAAAGAAATACGAAAAAAGTAGGGTAAAAGCTCATGTGCAAGCGGTTGGCTAAGGGGCGGTCTGCCGCGCTCTGCCGCGGCCGGCCTGCTCCAGTTCGAATTCAAATTCGACCACTGACCGACTAGTGGGGTGAGGACGACTATAAGAAAATAGTTCATCAAACAGGGACTCTCATAACACTAAGGAGATCAATGTGCTTCTGTAAGACGGGTGGTCGATGCATGCAGTAAACTACCTGCAAATTATCAAAACAATGCTGACTTGATTTCAGGCTGCATTATCCTATTCATGATGCACTTACTTCGTTTTCTCCTGTCGCGTTTCTAGTGTTGCAGTACTGGAAAAACTTTGAGAAAGATTCCAAGAGCTGAAAAAGAAAAGCGCACAATTGAGCTTTGAGTATGTGTTTTGAAATTTTTATTACGAAAAAATTTATCAGCTGAATGTGTGTGACGCTACGTATTCATAACTGGCAGCCAGCTCCAGAAAACTAATCTCTTCTTAACGTAATTGACTGACGTAAAAAGTGCAAAAAAGCGTTGGGAGTTTTTTCTCGACAACTACATTAGTATACAGACTAAGAAGATTGGGTATTAATGTGAGTTGGTTAACTCAGCTACAGAATAACTTACAAGCTCGGACTCCTCGCTTGCAGTAATTGTGCCGGGTGCTGCGTTTATGACTATGATGCCTTGAATGACGAAAATGGCATGGATAGCTATATAATACCATGCATACCTTTATCAGAAACTAGTTTTGATAACTGTTGAATAGTTCTTTCTTCAAGGAAAGATTCGGTTGGACATAGAATTTTGTGCGTTGATTCTGAATAGCATGCATCCAAGATGATGGCATCGTACTGTACACCTAAACATTTGGGAAAAAAAGCTCGATGGTTTTGTGCAAAAACTGATCACGAAAATGTTTGGTTTACCATATTAAGAAAAGAGGAGGTGCTTGCTGCTCTCAAGGCTTTAACATACAAAATTAATGCAAGAGGAGGTAATTAAACTACGAAGTTGGCCCAAAAGTTTGTGACTTTTTTGAGATGTATCTTCAAATCACTTAGAATGATGGTAGACAAACGCTTTGAACGTATTCGGTGCAGAATTTCTTCTTTTTTTCAACAGTTTGCTTTTGTTCAGAGTTTTCCAATGATTTTCATGTAATCATCGAATTCTCTAACTTATAATTTCCCCTTGTCCAACTTTGGTCTATCTTTGAGCCATATTTTCAAAACGATTTTCCAAAGTTCTTCATTTTTGCAGAGTCGTAGTTTAGAATCGTTCATACAGAATTTTCGAACACCATGAATATTCAGAGTTTGGGGCTTCCAATAATAAATCATAAACAAAGCTGATTTCTCAAGGCAATTGAGCGTTCACGGCAATGAAAGTTGATATTGAAATTTCCGTGTACTGGGATGCGTCCAAAAACCAAAAATGCAATGATATCATTTTCAAAGCATTCAAAAATCGGGATAGAAAACCTGCCAAACATAGGAGAAAAGCTGCATTGATCAATTTAGTTGACCGCCGTTTAATGTTCTATGAGATTTGATATGCACAAGTGTGGAATCTGATGACATCATTAGCCTTTAGAAGTTTTCTCACTCTAACCAAGTATTATTTAAGCTCTCTCAAAAAGCTGAAATGGAAACTCTAAAAAATATTGCATTTAGGTTAGGTAAAAACCATGGGTTGGTGATTCCGACGATTATTCGGGGATGCATTGAAGAACCTCAAACAAAAACGTTACTGCTAAAAAGAGGACATAAGCGTCGAACATCATTTGGAGCGTTTTCTAGTATATTATTACTCGGAATGTCTTGATAAGGAAAAGCGGCCGCTTTCGGAGCGACCTAATATGTGCACTGAGATCTTGCACTTTTGGTATGAATAAATTCTTGCACAAAAAACCCAGTTTTGTAAGTTATGCACAAGGATACTAATCTAATTGTAACCATCAATCATTCGTTTGGAGAAAGGAGAACATGCGGTACCAGTATTTCTTATACGGTTCTCCTGAGTTTTCATATTTGTCAGCAACCAGCAACTACTTACTATATGAATCTAAGCATGATGAAAAAGCAAGTATTCAAATTTTGTACATGGTGGTGCTAGTCTTAGAAATATAGATAAACCAGATTTATCCGTATAAGTTTGTGTTGCAATTTTGACGAAATATCTTCCAAAATTGGGGTATAGAACGAAGTTGTAAAATCTAGGTTTGCCGAGAAAACTTTTTTCCAGACTAGTAAGAGCTATGCTTAATCAGCCAAAATTATCTAACAAATGTTTAGTGAAACTCAGATAGTTTGCTTCAGAAAAAGACTTACTTGTACAAAGCCTTTCTAAAATAAAACTTTCGAGTTATGTGGTTGGGATAATCAAAGACTTGAGTAGTACCCATCCGGTAATTTGAAATGATGAGTGATCATTGAATTTCGTAAGACTTCATCATGGCCGCACTAATGACATGTTCCAAGTCTCAAGAATATGGTGGATGATTACATCATTTAGTGCCTACGCGTCCTCGGACCACATAAAACCCTTAGAAGCAAGAATGTCTAATTACTGAACCTTTCAGTGCCTGCTGTTTGACAAATTCAGCGCCGTCGGCAATCACTAGATGATGACAATTATCTTGTTCGAAATTAAACCATTTATAGGCCACATACACCATTTGTGCACTGATTTCAACAACAGTGATATTGATCTAAAACAAGGTTGGCAATTTTGTACCACTTGACGAGTTCAACTTACCTTTGGGAAATAGTAGTGCAAAAAGCAATCCATTATTCCGCCACCAAGACCCAACGATAGTACATTAGCTTCATTGTCACGTGAGAAATTTATAGCATCGCAATAAAAAACAGTTTCTTAAAGATTACTTGGAAAAGAGCATGGAAGAAGGGTATGCGGGAAGATTTGTACCTGTGCAGATGTGATAGCAAGTGTTTGGCTGGATATAACTGCAATCAACTTTCCATTTGCTTGAGTCGATGTTTCTTTTTGAAAGTTCTACAAATTCCCTGACAAGCCGATTCATGGGAACATATAATGTGTTTAGAAATTGAAGAAATAATGGCAAATACCTGAGGGTAGAATGAGCCGAAATGCCGAGTGCACACTATTTTCCACATCAAGTGTTCCAATGACTCGAAGAGCATCCACACTGGAAGGCATCATTTAAAAATAATTTTATTTATGTTGAACGAACGAAAATCAATATTTGTACGTTTGCATATGTTTCTTTACCATATTGCAAGTAGCATATTTGAAAAGAGGAAGAGTTTCAATCGATGAAATTTGGAGATATCGCGGGAGTGTTTTGCAAGCCTTCTTATTCACAGTTGATTGGAAAAAGATTCAGAAATTTGCAAATTAGGAAATTTTGGAAACGCACAGAGGTTTAAGCAGAAAATATCTACAAAAGATCATAGCCTACACAGTTTTACCTAAATGTTGATGCAGCAGCATTAGCATACGAGAATCATTAAAGGCAGCGTCCAGGCAAATCTGGACCTATGGGGATTTTACGTGGAAAGTACTTTTGCGGCCTTAACTAATCCACTGCCCAAGCGGCAGCGCAGTGCTCTAACGGCTGAGATATTCCCCTCGAAAGTGGACCCCGCGATCGTATTCGCATGGACTCATGGCAGTTTCGCACCAGGATCCACGCTTTGCGCCATGAATCCATGCGGAATACGATCGCGGGGCCCAGTTTCGAAAGGAATATCTCAGCCGTTAGAGCACTACCTGAGCTGCGGGTTGGGCAGTGGCTTAGTTAGGGCCCCAAAATTACTATCCAGGTGAGATTCCCATGTGTCCAGACTTGCCTGGACGCTGCCTTTAAGGTTCCAGCATGCCCATTATTTTAGCTTACAAAGACAATTAGCAAGCCAAGATACATGAAACATAAAAAATAAGTCCACAGATAAAGCACCACCCACTTTTTATGTTCTGGATTATTGTCATCTAAAAGTATGTCGGCCACAACAACGTGACTTCCATCCTCTAGCACAATACGTTCCCTTAATGTACTACAGATTAGCGATCTATAAGGCCAACGTATGTCCACCAACATGTTCGAGTAGAAGTTGAGTTCATTTTGTGTTGAGAAAGGAATTTGAATTTAGCTGACTATAATGTTAATGATTATCCTTGCTTTTACGGAATGTAGTAATTACTCTTTTGGCACTTATTGATAATAATCTGATTTCAAAGTACTACATAGTAAGGCAGCGGTCTTCTAAAAGATTTTCCGATTGTTTGACATGTGATTTACAATTGGACTATATACATCTTTACACAAAATTCTTCTCTGCAAAAAATCTCATATTTGAAACAGACAAAAAATGTTCATGGCAAATCGTTTAGCAATATGGTTTCGAATAAGTTAAAGGCAGCGTCCAGGCAGATCTGGACCTATGGGGCTTTTACGTGGGAAGTACTTTTGGGGCCTTTACTAAGGCACTGCCCAAGCGGCAGCTCAGGTAGTGCTCTAATGGCTGAGATATTTCCCTCGAAACTGGCCCCCGCGAACGTATTCGCATGGATTCATGGCAGTTTCGCGCCAGGATCCACGCTTTGCGCCATGAATCCATGCGAAACACGGTCGCGGGGTCCAGTTTCGAGGGGAATATCTCAGCCAGTACAGCACTACCTGAGCTGCCGCTTGGGCAGTGCCTTAGTTAGGGCCCCAAAAGTACTTTCCACGTAAAAGCCCCATAGGTCCAGATCTGCCTGGACGCTGCCTTTAAGGCATAGATTGATATAACATGTTGAAAATAAGTGTTGCTATACTATTCCTTGACAAGCGCTACTGTATAGGTTAGGAGCAGAGAAACTTGCAAGACTTCGTTTGGATAGTGCTCCTCTCCACCTCCACCCGTTTTGAATAGTCAAAAGGCATTTTGCGTCTTAACTAGGACTTCATTCTTTCCTCCTTTCTATATTTCCTTTATCATCCTCACTTCCTTCACTCTTTTTCCCTCCGGAAAAAAGTTGCATTCGAAGTTTTCAAACGTTGCATGCATCAGTGCATAATACATTAGACATACTCTGTTGTTTCATATATGCTTGCCACAATCAAAATTCGAAGTATGAGACCACTTACTGAACTCTGACAGCATCATACGTCGCATTTACCATATTCATAAACTCTTTGATATTTTGAGGCGACTCGAAGTTGTCGAAGTTTTCGAAATTCAAATCGGGCTGTAGAACTACAGTGGCGGTCAAAAACATGGAGAGGGCCATCTAAATATGGCATTGTGTATAAGACAACATGCACAAACTACATGTGTGCGAGAGTTTATCCTTGGTACAAAAAACAAACTCTTGAACTCTTCACTTACGACCAACACCAAACAGCAACGTGGACATCTCCTTCTTGTTTGATTTAGTCCTAAATTATTATATGTTATCATTATATGTATAATGGTAACATATAATAATATTATATGTATTATCGTCGATGTCGGCTAGCATTAGTATACCAGATTTTTGTAACAACAGAACAAGTAACTCCTGATAGATTCTCGTACAGGGAGCAACGAAAAAGAGAAAGAAAATTCACACTTTCTCAACTATTACTTTGCAGCGGTAGAGGAGTAAAGTTTGATCAGAATCTATTAAGTTAGTCAAATTTTTGATTCAAACATAGTTAAAACTGAATAAGAAGGTGTGGCAGGAAACGTCCTGAAGCAATGTTGAAAAAAAAAACTAAATCGCTGTGAAAATAATTTTTATTCGTGATGCAATTTTTACCGCCTGTCACCCGCTGACAGTTTATGTGAGCACCAAGAATAATTCTGAAACTAGGTTTCCAAGACGGATTTGGTAGCTAGGCATTGCGTGTGAGAGGATCTCTTGGATTTAAGCAAAAACAAAGAGTAAAACTTTCGGCACAGTCTCCTATTCCTGTTGTGTTGCTAAATTGCTGAGGAAAGTAATCCACGAGATGCGTAAACCATACGAAACATCATATGCAAGCTGCTTAAAGTTGAAAACAACAAGAGCCCTACCCCGTTTCAACAGAAAGTATATTGGCGTAATGGCTACTATTGATTGCTGTTCACCACCTGCTTCTATCGACTTACCGGTATGCATCGGCAGAACAAATGATTAGCTCAACAGTCATCAACAGTTCATTTGTATAAAAATATGTGAACAGCTGGTATCGCAGGATTCAGCTATAGAATACCAATTTTTCCCAGTACGCCAAGAAAAACAATTAGCGCCTGCCGTCGAAAAATTAAAGAGCATGTTCGCTAAAGAGGTGCAGAGTAGAGGCGGCCACGCGAGATGATGGCGCTGGTGCATCCGACTTTGCAGTTGATAAGCCTTGTACACCAAACAGCGCATACTGTACAATATCAAACTCATGAGGTAATTTTTGAAACCTTAAGTGAGTTTTTCCAAAAGCCGTCAAAAGCGTTGCGTCAGGAATTATTAGGCTGGAAAATAAGTTTTGCTACCTCTTTCATAACTTTGCTCTCTTTGGATGTGGCGCACTCAAACTTTGGTAACATATAGAGCGCAATCGTGCTATAACTAGGCACACCCGTTTGGATTTTGGACACGAATTAGAAAAATACCAGGCAATTTTTCAGAGCTTGTGAATTTTGATAATTTTTGGGTTACAAACCAAAATAAAGGCTAGCGGCCTAGACTATGCGCAGTAATCCGGAATCGTGTACGAATTGTTCCTAGAGGTTGACTATTCGGCTCAGTAGGAAAAAAATTAAATCTGATAGCGCGTCGCAATCACAAATTCGAACAAGTCGCTGTACGCAAGGCTGCTGGGAACAGCCGTCAATAACTAAGGAGCAGAACCACAGAATTCCCCGAGCCTTTACATATTGAGGTTCTTTAATCTGCTAAAACACGAATATCATATTCATTCATTGAATCAACGCCTCTTTCCTTGTTTATTGTGAGACTTTATATCGTACACCTACACTAATCTTACAAAAAAGCCCTTAACACCAAATTTAGCATCGTTTTCGTGATCAGCATGTCGGATAACCCCACTATGCCAAGTTTCAGTCGAATCTGACGAATTGTATAATTCCTTTATAGCATGTACCTACCGTAATCCCTCTGCGACGTCAGAATTTGGCAGAACAGAAGCTGCTCTTGCAGCTTAGTCATAACCTACACAATGGCAAAATTTGACTGCGTTATGTTGAAAGAGAGGAAAGTTAGTGAATGAGTTGCAAAACTGAGTTTCCAGCCTAGTAGTTATAGCAAGTCAAGCACGCTACTTTGAACTTTGCTTCTATTTCGTCTCTTTACCCGTGGTACTATCCATACAGTCACGCCTATAGGTGAAGCTCTCAGGGAAATAAGTGATCAACCATATGCAGAGGGAAGGGGGAGGGGGAAGAAAAGCGTTTTGAGCACATCTCAGTCAGAGAATGATTTGAAGGAGTGAGGGAAAAGGGACTTTTTTTGTGCATATTCACCTTTCCGATCAAATTCATATAGTTTACCGTCGTTTCGAATACATCGAAAATGTAATTATAACTGATGATTTCCAGAAATGCAACTTACAAGGAAAGAATGGTTGGTCGAAGTGGCCTTTTGAGATGGGCTGTATACCCTGGTAGAGAGCATAAAACACTGATTCCAAATGTTTTCTCCTTATCTGCGGCATGTTCCTGGACGAGGAGTTATGAGCGTTTGAATGAACAAAAAAATGAGTGTTCTTCTGGGAAAAAACAGTTGCTACCATTTTCCCAGCGCTTGAATGAGAAAGCCGGAGGACGGATATACCTCACCTAAGAGTGTATTATATAGAGTGCTGGAATGATTACCGCTGGTCCATTTAAACGCTAGGAATAATGTTACTATTGTTTAAGGAAGACAGATTTGAAATCAGCGTTTTATGCTCTCCACCATGGTATATAAATCATCGCGAAAGGTCACTTCGACTGACCATTTTTCCCTTGATTTAAATTTAAAAGTTCGGCTGAGCATTCTGGATCTACTCGCTGGCTTTCGCCATGCCTCAAAGGCAAAAAGCTTGTAGAAAATCAAAAAATCAAGCGATAGTTACTTGTGCCGTTATTATAATGCGAGGGCAAATACGCAAGTGTCGAATACTGCTGTCAACAGGGTGATAGGTAATCCTTTGTTTACCACTCTGTGGCTACGCTTCGACGCTTTCGTTATCATCAGAGGCCTGCAATTCTCAGAGCTTCATCCGTGACTTCATGCCGTTCCCGCTCCCCCCCAACTATGACGTAAAGATCAAGAAGGCAAAAAGTTAGCAAGGAAACACCCTTTCGTTAACTGTCCATACCAAATGTAGATGTTCCGACGGATGATTGCGCTACTAATCACACTTATAGCTCACCTTTGTTGAAAACGTCAGAAATATACACGAACACTTCTTTACTATTCACTAGCTGGCTTACCCGGCTCCGCCGTATCCGGACCAAACTTGGCACACATACACTTCGGGCCCCGGCGGATGTCACAGTCCACTTTTCGTTATCGATCGATGTCGATTTTACCGATTTTTATCGATTTTTTTGCAGAGTTCACCTACAGGGCTAGGAGTTTGCACAGGGGGGAAGTGAGCATGGGGATTCCGAATACAATATTAGTTTTCAGAATTATCGATTACTTTTATTGATTTTATCGATTTTTTGTAAATTTTGACCTGCGGGGCTGGGAGTTTGCACAGGGGGTAATCGAGCATGCAGATTACGATTACAATATTAGTTTTCAAGATCGTCCATTACTTTTATCGATTTTATCGATTTTTTGAAAATTTGAGCTAGGGGGCTGGAATTTGGCACAGGGGTGTAATCGAGCATGCTGATCACCCCCCTTGGGGATGATCAGCATGCTCGATTACCCCCTGTGCCAAATTCCAGCCCCCTAGCTCAAACTTTGCAAAAAAATCGATAAAATCGATAAAAGTAATCGATAATCCTGAAAACCAATATTGTATTCGGAATCCCCATGCTCGATTACCCCCCTGTGCCAACTCCCAGCCCCGTAGGTGAACTCAGCAAAAAAATCGATAAAAATCGATAAAATCGATATCGATCGATGACGAAGTAGCCTATGACACCCGCCGGGGCCCGTAGCGTATGTGTGCCAAGTTTGGTCCGGATCGGTTCAGAAATGGAATTTTCTATTCGGAACATACGTACACACATACAGACAGACAGACAGACATACAAACAGACATTCAGCTTTATATATAAGATTACTGAGTTCTTTGCAGTTCCGAAACAGTTTTGAGGCTTTCACAGCAGTCCGTTTTCAGATGCTAGAATTATGACATTTACAATCAAAGCTGTCTCCATCATGTGCTTACTGTCTGTGTCTGCCAAGGCGCTAAGGCAGCGAAGCTAAGTTCCTGCGCCTCCCTCGCCGTTGCACATTTGCATCGCTGTTTTAAACATATTTCCAATGTCTGCACGCTTCAGAGAAGCAAGAAGCGCAGAGTTTACAATAATGAGGATATTTTGGAGCTTTTTTTGCAACAAAATTCGACTCTTACAATCAACAGCCACCCTTAGTTGTGCGTCGAGGATAAGCAGCCATTCACTTTCGTCTTATGTGTCAGATTGATGCACTGTGACAGCATTTGAGTCTACAATGCTCGTCTACTTTGGACTGCGCTGAAGTTGCGAAATAGCAATCATAGACGTAACGACAGCAGATTAGCGAAAAGCGTACTGGTGCCGGTCTTTCAATCATGCTCACAAATTTAGCAAGAATTGGTGCAAGCGTTTACCCATAGCTAATTTACATATCTGAGAGTAGTTATTTTTGGACATCTAAACGTGGTACATTCATGCATTTGCTCAAGCCAGAGTATAGGCTTTGCTGAGTCAAAGCATGTTCATACTAGCAAATTCAACATTTTCAGTAACTCTTGCATATTCGGCCGTTCTGCACATCAATCTAAAAAGACTTTACACAGGGTCCAGCATAAGTCCGTTTCTGGGCTTTTTGAAAACGAAGTTCCCCTTGACTTCCGCCAAAATTTATGAAGTCCCTTTTGATCCCAAACCATATCTTTAGAAACGTTTAAAAAACTAAAAGTTGCAATTTTTGGCCACGGAATCGATATTCCCTCTGCTTTTTCGCCTCAAACGAAGTCCAGCCTGCTTTTATACGATCATAATCTCATCTCAATGATTACGCATATGTTCTTGCCTTATAGAGCCCATTTTCGCGAAAATTGATTGACTGATATTAGTTATCAATCACATCCTACATCCAGGTTTATC